AGAAACCCCCCCCCCCCCCCCCCCCATGAGGACCCCAGTGATATCAGGCAGTACCGAGATGGTAAACAGTCATAGTATATGCAAAGGAGTAGATATATAAAGAACAACGGTTCATAATACAAGAACAAAAGGGTAACAATGCACGGGAACTGTATAATGACTCACGATAGCAAGAAGATGATAAATCTGAATCTAAACATTCATAACCTGTCTAATTGGGGGAAGAGAACAGAAGACCAGAATAAAGCAGAAAAGAAGTGACTTAGCCAAACAGAGGAGTGTAGAAGAAAAGTAAAGGGAAAGGCAAGAGGGATGATGTAGAGAAAAACAAAAAGGAAGGGGAAATAATGGTAGGGAAGGGCCAGTAGGGAGGATAAGGAGGGGTCTGTGAGTAAGAAAGGTGGAAGGGAAGAGAGGGGAAATGGGAGGGAGGGTTCCCTAACCCAGTGGCGTCACAAGGGGGGTGCGGTCCGCACCCGGGTGACACCATTGGAGGGGTGACACCAAAATGACTCACAGTCATTTTGGTGTCGCCCTCCTCTGAAAAGTCGGGCGCTCAGCCATGGACCGAACGCCCGACAGTATCAGGAGAGAGGAGGGGACCCGGCGGCATACCTTATCCTGCTGGATGACTGTCCCCTCCTCTCTCTGCCGGCGTCCATCACCAAGATGGCCGCCAGCAGGTATCAGAATACTGTCGCGCATGCGCGATGACGTCACTCGCAAGAGCAACGCCCCTGCCCTAACCCAACCTGGAGGGCCAGTTAGAAGAGGCTAATCAAAAGACTTACCTGGGTGCATCCTGCAGCAGTACACTGTATTTGGGAGAAAGTGTGAATTCCTGACAATAAAACCATTTGGTACAATGTTTGTCATAACTACCTCTATTAAAGGATATCAAATTTTCTATGCATTTGATTTCACTGACCTTGCTAAGCCACTGAGACACTGAATGGGGTTTGGTTTGTCTCCACAGTTCGGGTATGCAACTATGGGCTGCGTAAGGCTGGCCATACACTAGTAGATTTTCGGTCTGAAATGTTCGTTTCTGCCACGTACCCTCGTTCGCATATAGCTCGACTACCTCATCAAGCATTGTCAAATGTCGATTTCAGAAATCGTTCTTTAGCCATTCTAACCAACCAATTTTTGACAAACTACATCAATAATTTCCTTTTGCCCATATGCCGTGTTCTGGCTACGATTTTTGACGAACGAAAACACCACCGATTCATTGATTTTCGATAAGACTGAGAAAAATTTTCCAACCTCACCGATCAACAAAAATTGAGCAAGAGTACAGTCAAAAAGACCGTTGGTGTCCCATGAACTGTTCGATTTCTGTTCGAAAGCTCGTTCGTGTTTGATTTCCAAATGGAAATCGAAGAGTGTGTAGCCACCTTTAAGCAGGTGAGGCAGTAAAGATTTTTTTTACGTCTTTCTGGTAAAGGAGTTATGGTGTATCAGGAAGGACTCTGGGTCCGCCGGAACCTCTAGGTCTGTGAACTTCTGCATAATGCTTTTAACTGTGGACCAAAAAGAAGTGAGTACAGAGCATGTCCAAAAAATGTGAAGTAAATTACCTTGAGGACCCCACAACGCCAGCATTGATTGGGGACAGAGGGGAACAAAGAATGGATAAGGTGAGGGGTTCTGTACCACCTGGTGAGGAGTTTAAACCCTGATTCCTGAAATTGGTGTTATCGGAGGATCTAAGGGTATGATGGAGTATTTGATGAACCTGGTCTTTAGAGAAGCTGATCCCTAGGTCCTACTTTAACGGATATTTTACCAATACATTCCAGCACAGGCATCTTTCAGTACAGAGGGGCGGGTCTTCACAGATTCCTGGTGCAGGAGAGGCCAGCGTGCATACAAGAGGTTTAATGTACATGAAAGGAGAACTATGGGGTTAAGGCTTTTCCCCATATTTCTCCTTAGGGTAACGGGAGGACACAAACTAGCATCCTCCCGTCACCCTAGGCTCAGTATACCGCGAGCTGTTGCTGGCGGTATACTGAGACGCCGTAGTATACTGCGAGCCGCTGCTCGCGGTATACTGAGACGCTGCAGCTGATCCCAACAATTGTGCCGGGATCCGCCCAGCTGCGTGAAAGACAGCTGGCTCTGCCTATCTAGAGGCAAAGCCAGCTGTACCCGACCCCTCCCCTGATCGGAGGCGGGAATCCAGCCCCTCCCCTGTCACGGCAGAGAGCCGTGACAGGATCGAGAGGTGAGCGAACGCCGGTATGTGTTCGCTCCCCACCCGATCTACTGAGCCGACCTGTGACAGTCTCATTGTCACAGGTCGGCTAGAACTATGAGGTGAGTGAAAAGCACTCACCTCATAGTTCTCCTTTAAAGCAAACCATTCTTGAGAAAAATAACCTCCATCTCAAATTGCACGTTTTCTGGCTGCCTCCGGCTTCAATGCTTACTGAAACAACTATGCAGATCAGGATACTCAGAAGGTGGTAACTGCACACCTGAAGCCAGAGTTGGATCTAGAGAGTCAATATGAAAGCCAGGCAGCTAGCAATTGCAGAAGGAATAGTTAGCAATGACAGCCTCCATGTTTCTGTAGAAAAGATTCCTTTAAGAAGGGTTAGAGAAATGGCAACCTAAAGTAGGGCATTTCTTTCAAGGTTAGGAGCTCTGCACCAAAGGTGTTGGCATCAATCTGCCGATGAAAACGTATGTATCAACAAAATCTTACCTTAACTGGCTACATACAGGCTGCACATCAGCTGAGTTTGCCTCTTCAGAGTGTAAGTCCCATAATCCTTGCCTGCTCTTTTATGTTCATTTTGACCCAACATACTTGGTTTGAGAGTTTGTCCTGCCCCCTCCCACTTCATAATCCTTACTACTTGCCAGTGAGTCTACCCATCCTAGTGACTGGTGAATAGTGAGCCTTATGAGTCAGGACTAGCTTTCAACCCAACAAGCTGGGTTGATATGTGCACTAGATCACCCTTCCTCAACCAGGGTGTCGTGGAACCCAGGGGTACCTTGAAACCAGTGTCAAGCCTTTCCATAGTAGGGCAGCCACTAATCCAGGGAGGGGCGAATCCATTCAGAATCGACCTTTGATGAATGAGCCTAACAGTGATTGCAGCCTATCAGATGCAGTCAGAGTTCTGGTATTCTGACAGTGGGCACCAGATGTCAGAATACAATAGCCACATCAGGAGATTTGTCCATTCATAGAGGAGTCTGTTAGATTTTTTTTGTTCAATCCTGGGGCTGAACGAAAAACTTCACTAAGTGCATAGCCAGCTGTGCTGAGATCAAACTATTGTGAGTTTACATGAACTGCTGAAGTCCTCTCTCTCATGACCGTACCTGTGCAGTAGAGTCTATAAGACTTCTAGGGGGCTTGTCTATCTCCCGGTAGGGAAATTACGACTTCTGCAAGGCTATATTGCACATGTGCAGCCAGCAGAAAGAGGATCTTGGAGTGGGATGTAAACAAGCATGTATGGCCATGGATCTTGGTAAGTATGCATCTGTGGAGGGGGAAGGACAAGTTAGACATCCTGCTCTGCATACTTAATCCATGACCACCTCCCTTGGTCAGTTAATACACCTCACATGGCTTCCAATCTCTATGCCAATGACACTCAAATATATCTTTCTACTCCACAACTCCCCCCTCTGTGTCCTTGCGTGTCACTTATCCACTAACTAACATATCAGTCCGGATGTCACAACACTACTAAAACTTAACCTTTCAAAAACTGAGCTCTTGATATTTCCTCCTGCCCATGCACCTTCGCCAAACTTTTCCCTTGAGATTGATAACACAACTATCCATCCCTCTCCCCATGCCAAGGTCCTAGGTGTCATCCTTGACTCAGACCTCACCTTTCTTCCCCACATCCAAATTCTGTCACCTTCGTAACATCTCCAAAATACACCCCTTCCTTGCCAATTAAACCACATAGCTTCTCATCCACTTACTTGTTATCTCTCGTCTTGACTATTGCAACTCCCTCCAATGGGCTTACCTCTACACAGGCTCCTCCCCCTTCAGTCTATCATGAATGCATCTGCTAGACTCATCCACCTAACCAGCCGCTTAGTGTCTGCAACCAGGGGTGTCCTGAGTTACCGGGTGTCACCCCGACTTGCCAACGGCAGCCTGCACATTTCCTTATTATACGTTTTTTCATCTCAAAAGTTGTATTTTCACACTTATGTGCTTTCATGCATTTTACAACATGGAGATGCATTTCAAGTAAAAATCCCACTCTTGCCAAGGTAGCTGTTTCACATCTATGCAACGCAGTGTAGTGTTAAAGAGAAACTTTTGAGAGCTGTAACACGTTTTCGCAAGTGCATTACCACGCGCGCTTCACACAATTGCAACGGTATGATCCTTTTTCATCCACCATGCACGGGGCTCTAATTCCTCTTATAGTCATCAACCGTCCACTGATAGCGTCTCTTCTATGATTCTGCAGCCCTATTGGTCGCTGGACAGAGAAGGGCTGATTGGTTATCATAACTGCGGTGGGCGGAAGTGTCAAGAGCAGGAAAGCGTATTCCGGAGTTAGCATGTAGCCTCCCTGCTTCCGGTGTGCGCTGTCTTAATCTGTTGTGCTACGAGACCCACTTGAAGTGTCCGGGCTGGAGCTCAGGTATGGCAGACAGTGGTGGCATCTCTGCATTGTTTTATTTTCCCGCTCGTTTGTCTTGATAGCTGTTATCACTTTACGTTTGGTGACACTCATGTGGGTGAATTACAGCTCTCAGCACATTTCTTGGAAGCGACAGTATGCACGTTAGGGGCTACATACAAGTACAATATCGGGAATGACAGCTGCTGTAAATGCCATTGAAATCTGCAGTTTAGCTGTATAGAGCTGGATGACTCTTGAGTTTATTTACATTACAGTTGTATTTCAATTCTGATGCATGCATGGATGGAATCTAGCATTCAAATTCACATATGCTGCAGTGTTGTGATATGACAAATGCTGCCCACATCCGTTTTAATCTGCCTTGATCATAGCACATTTTTACCACATATAATAAAGCCCAACTCTGGACTAA